TAATATACTAATTTTGATTAATATGCTTCATATCGCTCTGCCACTACCATAATTATTTGATATATTTTATTATACCCTGAACCCATTGAAAATGGGAAATCAGGGTATAATGGTTTTGTGAAAAAGTATGTAACGGGCAGAAGGAGGCGTGGCAGACCCCACAAAGTATATATATTCTTGATCAGCGCGACGAGCTGAGTCGATATAGCCCTGTCCGTCTGTCCGTCCGTCCGTCCGTCCGTCCGTCCGTCCGTCCGTCCGTCCGTCCGTCCGTATGAGTGCGTCGATCTCAGAAGTTATAAGAGCTAGAGAGCTGAAATTTGGCATGCATACTCGTGAGTACCATACGCAGTACGAGTTTGCTTTATTTTTTCGATAAATCGTCCGATAACTTTTTTATCGAGAATAATCGAAAAATTGATTTTGTTTTTTTAGCCTAATTTGAACATTTTTAGANTTAATTAATTGGCAATATTTGTTATTATTTTGAATTTGGTAAATGAATATTTAATATGACTTTTTTTTTATATTTTACATAAGAATACGATATATGTATTATGACGATATATGATTAATGCATAATTCTATCCTAAATACATGCACATCTACGTATACCATAATATTCATCCATGTAGCATTAATTATCGAGTTTTATGATTCAGCAACACAGCTTAGGGTAACTCTCAGTCTGGCACTGCTGCGCACGCTGAATTTTTTTTTTTTTTGCTTTTAATTGGCAGTGGACATGCGGGGTTAAGTGAAAAAGCGTTCAGCTTTTGTCAGTCAGCCGGCGCCGTCAGTTAGATTGTGACCCACTTGATGCGAAATAACCGAATAGTCAGTGTCATATGTAATGCCTATTTTTGGGTACGCCGCTCTGCTAGCGATACGAGCTGTCACCCATTTATGACTTGGACTTATGTTCAAAGTTTTGTAAACAAGACTGATTGCATATAGACATACATACACACACACACACACACACATACAATACTACATAAATAGGTGAATTGCGATAAGAGCTTGTAGGCATACCTAGAAATACAAGTATGCTCTGCGTCATTGTCAATGGAATTGGCAGGCGGCAAAAGAAGAGCGATCGAATCGTAAAGATATAATAGCTACAAGATACAAATTTCTGTTCGTGCCGCTTTAATTGTGTATGCCAGTGTGCTCTGCATTTCTTAGCGCTTCCCAATTATCTGGACTTTTCTATATAGCAGCAGCAACAACAATCATAAAACAACAGGTAAGTTTAGTCAAGTGTAGAGGGCATACGAAAGAAAGCTTACCTAGCATTAATTATCTAGGCCCGCCAGAGCTGTGAAATGGTATATGAGGAGCACAGCCCCAAAAAAACCTTCGTGAAAGTTTCGAAATACATTCAAACGGCATATGCATTACTTGAACCACAAAGTTGAAGATCAAAGCCAACAAGTTTACACGAATGATCGCATTGTTTCACCAGGTACTTAATATTCCGATTTGTATGAAGCAAGTGCTAGAAGGTAGTCTAGACTGCTAGATACTCTACATACTATATGCTGTGTATATATGTATGTATATACATATAAAGAACCAAGATCAATGTCGGTATCTCCTTGACTGATTTGGAGGTACTCTATATTCTCTACATATAACATACGTTATAAATATATTCATATTATAAGAAGATCTCCTAAGAAATTCTGGCAACTAGAGAAGGGAACTAGCATAACGACTGTCGTAATTAATTTGCCATGATTGCTTAAGCTTTAAGCTTTTAGCCAAGTGCACATTGTGTATTGTGTTACGTTTTGCAAAATGATCTATGGGAGTCCAATGCTTCAGAATACATACGTTCAGCTGGCTGCTGATATCATTAACATGATAAGATAAATCAGCGCAAATTTCAACTTCTAGAATTGTCGGTTGCGTCAGTTTATGTTGTTGTTATTGCTGTTACTCTGCAGTTCTATAGTTTCCCGAACTGAGAGCGCAAGAGCGCGTGAGTTTCTGACACGTCTGCCCCGAACCCCATCGAAAACAATCTGCAGCAAAGCGGCAAAACAATAAATGAGAGCACGCACACATATTCACACACACTCACACTAACACTCAATGTGATAGAGAGAGCGCGGGAAAGAGAGCGTGCGGCACGGCACAGCGAAAGAGATTGAGCGTGGAAAGTGCAAAGAGCGCGATTATTTCGTTCTGTTTTATAATTAAACATGTGAGGTTAGGAATATTGTGAAAAAGTCGAAACTATTCATTAAGGGGCGTCGAATGTGTGGCACTGAGGAGGAATCGTTATTAATTATACGTACCTTTGAACCAATCTGATTGCCGCATTGGCCGGCCTGCAGGTGCACGATTTCTCTCATATTGTCAGACGCTCTGAGACTTTGGCAAAGGTCAGGTAGCAGTTAATTCGGCTTGAAAGATGTGTATGCACAGAGTATCGCACAGACAGACTGACACACGCACTTACACACACACACACACAAAAGCAGCTGCACACACAAAAAGCGAGGGAAACGGGGTGTGAGTTATTCGAAACGCTCTGGGTACGGTTTACACTATGAGTGATCGTCGCGCTCGCGTCAAGATTCCAACGTGCACTGAAAACGGCCGCAGCTACAAATAGTGAGCGAGCCCCGAGAGCGAGTTGGCGCGACGAGGCAGCGGGCTGTGTCAGCGTTAGTTGCGTCTTTCCCATGCCAGGCGGCGGGGAGGCAATGGTAGGCAGAGCGGCAGAGCGAGAGCGGGAGGCAATTGCTTAGAATTGTAGCGGCAGCTGATAAAGCGCTAATGCAGACGACAAGCTGTGTGTAGCTAGCAGCAGAGGCAGAGGCAGAGGCAGAAGGCAGAGCCAACAACTACAGTCACAGCAACAACAATAACAACAACAGCGCTATTAATGAATGATGAACATAAAAACTGACTGGAATTGTGGCGAAGCGCCGGCAGGTTTGTGGAGGCATTTTCATTGCTGCTGTGTTGCGGTTTGGTTAGTGTTACTTGTTTTCGTCTGCTGCAGCAGCGTGGCACGCGGTCTCTCCCTCTCTCTCTTTCGCTCTCAATGCATGACTGCGCACTGGAAGATTCGATGTGGCGAAAGAGAATGCAACAGTTGGAGCTCTTGGGAACGATGTGGAAGAATGAATGCCAGAGCGCGCGATTGTGGAAAGAGAGCAGCGAAAAGAGCGCAGAGAGCTAAGCATAAGAAGAAGAATGTCTGGTCGAGCATGTATGCGCTTTGAATGTGAGGCATTTTGATTCAGCTCTAAGTTTTGCATTGACTGTTAGGTTCTCACAAACGAAAAGGCGGAATACTAGAACATGACATTCTTTGCTTTCTTTCGGCGTTGGAAGAGAAAGGAAATGACTTGTACAAAAGAAAACCTGTCTCACTGGAATGCCTTTTGTAAACAATTTAATGGTTTTCTATTTGCTTTTATTTGCTTTTTAAAGCCGATTTTAAGATTACTATTTTACGGTTAACAAATTTATAAAAAGTTTATGTTTTATTAAAATGCATATGTATGCTTACCTAGAAATTCAACGGAATTCATTAAACTAGAGTAAATATTACTATCTATCTACTTTTTACTTTCTAAATCATTTTAAAAACATTATATGATTATATTATATGCTAACAACTTTTTATATTAATGATATGTTTCATAAATAAAGACTACGTTGAAGATACAAAATATGTATCTTTATCTAATAAGTAAGGGTTTTTAATTCAAAGCTTAAGTTATAAATTTTATTAATTTTAGTTTGTATTTTTAATGTATAACAATATTACATTTATGAACTAAATATATATTAAAATATTTAATTATTCTTTGTTCCTTATATATGAATTCCCATTTTATAAATTCAATGCTTTCCAATTCAATTTTTCGGTATGCCAACTGCAATTATTATTGAGCATCTGTTAACTATAAAATCTGTCAATACGACAAAATTGATTTGATTTGCTTTGAGCAAAATATTCAATTGACTTTTGTTTTCTATAGTAGGCATATATTAAAACTTAAATGCAAATATCGATGACTGCTTGCCGATTTTAGAAACTCTTTATTCAAATTGTTATCATAAAAATATTTTACTCGCCTGTAATATCAAGAAATTTTAATATTCTTAAACAAATAATTAAGGTACTACAATTTTTGCCTCCGTACATTCGAATTCTAGGAATGTTTTGAGTTGTCAATGAAATATTTGGTATACTCGCATTCTTAGCTCTCTCTCTCTCTTTTTCTCTCTTTTAATAATTCGCTTCAAAATATATTTAAAAATGTGTTATTAATATTGAAAATATTAATAGCTAAAACATAGCTATTAGGGCTAAATTTGTTAAAAAAAATAAAAATTAAAATTAATAT